TACTTTTCTGGAACTGTATACTTGTACCTTTAGTGAGTAGCAGGTTTTTCTTTGTCAAAATGTCCTAATATAACACGCTCACAAAGAAAAACTCTCACTCACTGAACCATCATCAACCATTATTATCCATCATTTCTAAGACCTGTGTTTTATTTTAGTGAACGGTTAGTGAGTAGCAGTTTTTTTTTTTTTGTGAATCGCCCTTAATAAATAATTCTCACGAAGGAAACCTTGCACTCACTGAACCATCATCAACCATCATTTATTATGTTCGTTATTTTAATAATTGTTTAGTGAGAATAGGGTCTTCTTCATGACTGTGTCTCGTTAAATCACATTCACGAAGTAAGTCTCTCACTCACATAAACATCATCAACCATCATTTTCAAGATTCGTGTTTCAGTTCACTTAATAATTGTTTAGTGAGCCGCTGGGATTTCTTTGTGAATGTGTCTTATTAAATCACATTCTCGAAGTGACCCTCACACTCACTGAAACAAAATGAACCGTCATCTTCAAGACATGTATTTTATTTCTGCGATCGTTTAGTGAATAGCGGGTTTTTCTTTGTGAATGGGTTTTAATAAATCACACTCACCAAGTAAATCCCGCACTCACTGATCGTATCAATCAACCATCATCACAAGAAAACAACACCATCATCATCATCATTCTGTACTAATAAAATATATTTTACATTGTAGTTACATATTTTTGTTTTAATAATAACGTAACTAATGTCGACTGAGTTAGCTCATATAATGTTGTCATGTCTTCATTTAGAGCACACACAGCAGCCGTGGTATGCATCAGTTCTAGGTTTCGTGTGTAGCTAGCTCTGCTTCGTGTGTAATGTAACTTAATAAATCACTAACACGAAGCATAGCGGACACGCATAAAACCATTATCATCAATCGTGAACATCGATCATCATCATGGACTATCATCATCAACCATCTTCACAAGCAAGCCAGCATCTGTCTGAACTAAAAGATTTGTTTTTATTCCACCAAAACATTTAATACCACTAAATGATAATTGTAATTGATATCTATATAATTAATACTAATATTTGCTATTTAAATGTAATTGTCTATTACTAAACATTTGCATGCCTACTAATAAAAAGCGTATATCATTATAGCATAGTTACTTCTCGTATGTATCTAACTTACAACTTTGCGTCCAACCACCCTACGCTTGTCTCACTGTAGTTCAACTGGTGGCAATACTATCTGTACTTGTGCAATTGTACTGTCGGGTAGCCCTATTACTATACTAATTCATTGGGTTGCAATCTTCAGAGTTAGTCTAACTAACTAACCCAAATACCTCTTCGCGTGCCAATTTATCAGGATACAACAGATATCCGACAGATTGTGTTCCGTATTATAAGTCGTAAGTAGCTTTTATGTTTATTTAATCTTGTGCATCATCAGCAAACTAGAGTCAACTGCTAGACTTCATTCATTTATAATTTAAGAGCTACTCTTGTCAATAGATCTCTTGCCACGTCCCACGATCTTTCAGCATCATCTTTAAATGTTAATACGGCGACTCCAATTTTGTCTTTCCTTTGCCTAAAGTAAACTATAACAAACTAGCTTAAGTATTGTATCGGTCCACATACGACTACCTTCACTTATACACTCGAGCGAAAAAAAGAAAGTTCAGTCAATATTTGATAATAAAGCCTTTTATCAGAACAATCATTTCATTGAAAACTTGCTTATTAATAGTATTTGTGTACTTTAAGTGTATGATTACCCTCTGCAAAGGCTTTTCCCATCATGTTTAATTTTTACCTTGTCTATGCCACAATTTACTCCTTGTAATTTAAGGCTTGAAATCGCAACACCATGGATAGTATAGCATAGCCGCAACTCGTCACGGCATATACTGAGTAGAAACTTAAGTGCTACAAATATTATTATTACTTTACAGTTTGACTTTTTTCCCACTTATGCATGAACAAAATATAACTATAACTAAACTACATACATTTGAAAAAAAGTGGGAAGAACCTTAACCTGTGTATATTTTTGTTATTGGTTATTGTATATGCTATAATTAAAGCTCTAAACATTTTTTGTAAAAGTTATGTCTGTAATATTAATGAAACGTGTACTTGGTTAAGATTTTTGTTTTTACGTGTTATTATTAACGACAGTTTAGATAAATAATGACTGCAATAACTGTTGTCGTATCTGTATTAAAGCCAAATACACTCAACATATTCAATGTTATTTCAACTTATAATCACTATATTCTCCGCATGAATGTATAGAATTAAAGTGTGTTTATTTTTAGCAGGTTTTCCACGATATTGTATTTGAAAACCTCAATCACTAATCAACAAAGCTAGCGTGACTTGGCGCGCAAAAATTGTCGTGCTAAGATGTTTTAAAAATCAAATATATATATATATATATATATAAATAAATAAAATGAGGACGCGTTTGTGACCTTCGCGATGCGACCATGCATTGTGTCGATGCGAATCACCATGTACATGAATTTTCTATTTCTTTCTGTATAGTAAATTACTCGACTCAATTTAATTAATTGTTTGTAGAAACAATTTCGTCATTAATCAATATTATTTTAAAAACTTTTTGATCAACAATAAGTAAATGAAATGTAATCTTGTTCTGTACTCGGATATTGGGAATTACTTTAAATATTACAATTGAAATTTACAATATATTTCGTTTATGAACTATTTACTTCACTTTCCTACTTGTTCACTGATAATGTATAGTATTAACTTTTTTTAAATTAACTTAGTTTTTAAAAAAACTTTAGTTTTTCTCGCGTTGATATTAAGTAAGGGAATAGACAAAAATGTTTGTAAATGTTACCTTTCGAAAAAAATAGGGTGCTAACAGACTAATAAACAACAAATAAATATTAGTAAATTACTCCTAACCCTAAGTCCATTTCACATAGAAAAACACACGTACAGTAATCTTCCAGAGATATAGACTACTACTTACATTACTTTATTCAATTAACAAGTAAATATTATAATAATATAAATAATATAAATATTATAATATGTAAACTTATTTCTATATAATATAATAATTAATATTTCACAGATTATTAAACTTTTTACCATACAAAACAATAACTAACAACAATCTGCAAATAATTAAAGTATAATAGTTAACAGAGTAACGAGAAAATTAAATATCATATATATATCACTAATGACAACAAGTTTCCACTACATTCACTTTATATTACGTGAATTATGTCACTGCAGTATAATAATACAAGATAATCGTAATCATCTGTAAAGTTGCCAGTTTAGAATGTTGTGGCGCCATCTGTTCGATAATATGTAAGTTAAGCGTATGGCCTTCGTCTGCAGTTATCACGTGCTAGCTTATGCACTGCTTTATCGACATCCGGCTCGTCAGCCAATCAGAAACCGAGCAGCTGTACCGACTGAGTGCCATACACCAATCGCGCCAAACTCTATTCCGGTCACAGTGTGCACATGTGACCGGCAGTACTTATTATTGTAATAAATACGAATTATCAACAATTAACTCTTTTACATATAAAACTTACTTTTTATCGCCACTTAGTCTGCAGAGAATATTGTGAGTCATATATTTATGAAGTGACAATGAGTAGAAACGGTAAGTTACAAATATGGTATCTACTTTCCATGTTTAGCAGCCGCGACCTAAACGCCATCTTCAAAAGTGTTATCCACACTGAAACTAATTCATACGTTACTCACGTGACCTTGTTCAGGATATAGACGACAGATGGCGTTGCATATATTTATTGAGTTTGTTTATATTTCGACTGGAGGTAAACAAAATGTTGTTTATTTTTTACAAAAGTAGAATATACAATTAATTGGAATATACAACGATTGTTATATTGGCATTGTTTTAGTTATTGTATTGTATATAAAAATATAGTTATTTGTCTAATTTTAAAAACAAATATTTTCTTTTACCATGCCTGAAGTAATTTATAACCTCGGTTATATATATATTAACAAATACGAAGATTTGTCTTGACATTTCTACCCATTTTCATTTTACATGTATCGCAGATATTTATAAACATAATGGTTAAATATAGGCCACATGTTTATATTTATTTAGTTTAATAGTCTGAAACAAAGATGAAGAAAAGAAAAACCTGTAATGACTTTTTCTGTGAGTTCTAAAATCAAAGCGAAACCATTCAAACTATTTAGAAAGTACTAATGCGGATGTTTTAAGAATATTTTTATTGGTATATGGTACGCAGGCTCTGGACACTGGAGGAAGGAAGCAGAAGAAAGTCAGAAAAGCACTAGTTCCGCTGAAAATACGAAAATAATGAATCGGTAATTTTGTATGTGAATAGCTACTTCGCATGAAATATACGACTGTTATTTTTTAAGTTGATTTTATTTAATTATTTTTTTAGTTGCCGCCACCATTTATTATTTATCATAATTAATTGCAATTTGAGGGTTCTTTAAAATTGGGAATATTGTTAATGAAGAGTTGTAATAAAATAAAAATCTGAAAACTCGATATTACCGGGACATCCCAAAGTTACAGTAGAGCGTTACCACAATTTTTTTTTTAAATGGATTTTATATTTTAGGATCGCCTTTCCAAACTTTTTAATTTTTAAGCGAAACCATAATCTCGGTTCAAAACATTGTATTATAATTTCAATCACCATGAATCTCTGACATTGAACTACAGAACAGAACAGACTAAAGACTTATCCTTCAAGTAGGAGTTTTGGCCATCAGCCGCTCCATAAGTCCTTCTGCTCACTCGCCCCCCATTGTTCAATGAAACCACAGCATTTATTTTCTATTTTAGTTGCACATGTTTCAACATTCATATGTTACGAATAAACAATGCTATATCCCAAAATTTATTTTATTGCATGTCTTGCTTGGCTATGATGCGAAGTATATTATTTTGCTTTTTTTTTATTTATTTCAAGTTTATTTTTCTCATTTTTTGCAGATTTCCTGAGTCACGGGGCTAGTTTCAACAAAAAGTACGGTTAGTACATCACAGTTATTGCTTTTTTTTTAATTACCATTTCACCGAATCACCTAATTCATTTGTTGTACAATAGATACAGAATTCAAATAGAATTAGTTTATAATATCTACTTATTTATAAATGCATCTAACAAACCTAATTTAAATATACGTTTTTACATTTACTTTCTAGTTATACTCTTCGTTTGAACAATATTACAAAATATCGTAACAGTTAAAATAGGTGTGTTCTAATTTTAAAATATGTGTATCGATTTCCGATTTTTCGGTCAGGTATGATATTTAATACAATCAGTTTTTTTTTTAAATTAGGTATTGAGTATAATAATTATTTCTTGTTCTTCTATATATAGATATTATTCAACTTGATTTATAGATTAAAAGATAGATAGACTCGGGATGGAGACTGTATGTTCGTCTTCATCATACAGTATGTCTTCATGTTAGCCTGAGTGACATAGCGGTTTAGCACAGTGCTTTCCGGGTTTGATTCCTCGCGCGGTACAAATTTTTGTATTTATGAGTATGATTATTTGTATTGGCCTGGGTGTTTTCTATATATATATCTCATTAATAATCATGGAATAGTGCTCGCAGCGGTAACGGTTTTTGCTGGCGGGTCACCAGTGGAGGATGATAAGATGAATGTGAGGTTAGGTTAGTTTATTCATTGTTATTAAATTACCAGAAATTAACCACTATGATTTCGGTGGGAACCACGTGGAGGTCGACCTAACATTGCTAGCAATATAATTATGCCCATTACTATTATAAAATTCCCCCTTCTATGTATCTTATATGGTATGCATTTACAAAAAATATTTTTAAGGATGTAGTGCCTACAATATAATACAAGCTCTGCTTAGCTTGGTACTAGATGACGCTTTGTAAATTGTCCTAGATTATGATTAATAATGTTTTGAGTTTTAATTCAATAAGTAGCCACATTCTATTCTTAATATGTGGAGCGGGATTTAAGATTTTAAGGCATGTGGAGGTACATGCCTTAAAATCTAAGTGATAAAGTTATAATGCGGTCTTATTATGAAATAAACTATCTACTGATGTTTTAGCTTCCATAGACTATGGTAATTGTTTACCTTCAGAAAGACTGTATATTTCTTTGCCCCCACGAAGAATTAAAAAAAGAGGAGACACTCTTGATGTGACATTGATCACTCGTTACCATTCCAAAGAACTATTATGTCATTATTGATGATGATTATATGATGTCATGTCTTTAATCTTACTTTTTATCTGTTATATCTTTAACGGAAACAGCTTACAAGGCAAGCTGGCGGTCGACAAAAGTGACAAGCTGACCGCTTTATACAGTCTGCACCTATTTATGTGAGCATGTGACTGCTCTATGACTTCAAAACAAATTCACGTGCATGGGATATTCTAAACGTTACGTTAATATATGTATATAAGCAGTATTAAGAATCACATTCGTATGGCACGTGATAAATAGAACGTCCTACCAGGCTAGCTAGGTTAAGGTCTGCGTGGTTCACAGAATTATTAACTATCTGGCCTGGCATGATATGTAACTAATGTACATATCAGACTGACAACCTTGAGGGGGATGAAGGATAGTAAAAAAAATCGATAATGAACCGTATTAGGACTTCCATCAGTTTCTCCTGAACCAACATAGTACATAGTTACTGGCGATTTTGCCACGATTGGCTCACTGATATGACTTCATAACCATGCCATCATCAACTGTTGCCACGCCTGCTTATAAAATTAGCGAAGGCAGTTCCACCATACCATTGTCAATCATAAAAAAGAAGATCTCAACGAGGTCCCTCCAGGATTTTGACGTCTTCTTTACTGAATTAACTGTTTCCTTTGCCATACTGTCATCTTTTTTTTTTTAACAAAGGAGTGACAAACATTCATACGGCTCATCTGATGGTAAACGTTTATCTTATAGTAGCTTGAATGGACATGAATAAGGTCACGAGTCCATGCGCGTTTTTCGACACTTAAGAAACCATAAGAGACCCTAGTTAAAAAACTCTAATAAAAATTTAGGCTACTAATTTATTAAACAATTTTAGTAGGTATATATATCACCAGCTTATACCATTGGGGTACCATGTTATTATCGTATATTTAAAGGAACCTATCCACGATATGAGATTAGGAATGATGGTAAACGTAGTACATCTTTATTTTCACTGAAGAGTTTCTCTCTTGTCGCGCCAACTATCTCCAAATATATTTTACCTTCACTCTATATTCCTAGTTTTTATTGTAATAATAATATCTATTACATAATTCTTAATAATTAAAACAGTCCTAGTGGTTTTAGTGTCCAGTGGACAGGTCGTGATTTTTAATCTGACCGGCATTACAAAAACAAGCTGTTAATTTATATTTTTGATTGACTTTTCGTCATTGGAAAGTACCGACAATAAATCAAATTGAAACAAGAGAGCTTACCTTAGCTTATCTCCTGCAATTTTAGATTCAAATATACTCAGCAATATGTCAATCGTTACCAGAACATCTACTTTTAACAATACTTCTAATTACCCAATTTGTACTAAATATACCTTCAAGTATTATATTAAAATGTAGTCGTTAAAGTTAATTCGAGCACATTTGACATTTGGGTTTGTAAGCCTCTCACGTTGCGTAGCCGTGAGTACTGCAATGCACATGGTAGTATTCTTGTATTTTTGACGTCATGACTGATTATGCACTACGTCACTATGTAACTAATATAATCATTTGGTTTCGTCCGCTTATGAATTAATATAACTAATAAATTAATTGTGTGCAGATGTCAACATACACCACGCTCTATGGTTAGAAATAAGCTTACTTCTATCTCTTGATTTATATTTGATTTGTTAACGGTGAATCTTTCTCCGGAGAATCAAGCAGAAATATAAATTAACACACAAACATTTTTTTTGTGTCGGCGAGATTTGAACTCGTGGCCTTTTGGTATTAGTCAGAGTTGTAAACCATTGTGCCATGACGCACTTAAAGATATCTATCTATATTATCAAATATACATATTTACTTATTTACGAATATTTCTTTATAAGACATATATGTATGTATTTCAATTGTATATTGAAATTTAATCTACTATAAAAAAAGGTTATTATTCTAGAAAATAGAGTTTTTAGTTATTTATAAATAACGAGTATAATATAACTGCAACTGAGAAAGACTATTTTTGTGTTGGGCCACTTCATCAACATAACATAACCCAGAACAATAACTTAGAAATTTTGTCAATTTGTCTATGCGCGCCAAACTCAGAAACCGCTTAACTGGCTTAACCGCTTTTCTCTGCCTATAGGGATAAGCTTCATTTAAAAAATTATATTTGCTTTATTCTAATTAATTAACGAATTAAACGACGACGTTGTAATTATTTTTAAATGTCTTATATTGATTGTGGTTATTTAGTATAAGGGGTTTATTTATTTATTAACTCTTCATTGCACTAGAAGCGTATTAAAAAGAATGTAAATTAAAATAATAGAGTACAAAAGGCAGTCTAATTACGTAAGAAATCTCTTTCGGATAAACGTTGGGTAAAGAAGGAAAGACAGAAAGTGGTAGGTAAGACAGGTAGTGGTATATAAGATATATATACTACTAGCTGTGCCCGCGACTTCGTCCGCGTAAAATAAAACGACGAATGAGGAATTTCCATTTCATTCCCTAGTTTATTTTATCTTATGGGTATTTTTTTTATTAACTTTGAATGTCATATTTACTTATAGTTATTCAACAGCCCCAAAAATAAGATTTACTTTTCTACCATACTATATATATTTACATACAACCTTTCATCTTCCCTTTCAACCCCTTAGAATCCTTTTTCGCATTAAAAAGTAGCATATGTCCTCAGGATCTAGACTATATGTGTACTAAATTTCATTTAAATCAGTTCAGTTTTGACGTGACCGGGACAGACAGACAGAGTTACTTTCGCATTTAAAATATTAGTAAAAGAGTAAATATATTAAATAGAAATATTAACTACACTGAAATTATGCAACACGCAGACAGGATGAAGGGTAATAAAATAAAAATAATTTAGTCATGGCGAGTTTGAACAGAGTTCTTGGTTCTTATACTTATACAAAATAATTTATTAATCATGGAATATACAAATTCCATTCCAAGCGCGTATTTTTTACTTGTATATTGTAATAAAAGATTCAAGTGAAACAAATCAGCGATGCAACTTAACATTCTTGGTGGTACTGTGATATAACAAGGCGTTTATTGCGCTGATTGTTCTAGGTCACATTATAATATAAGTATCTCTCATAGTCATCTTAAGACCCCTGCAGCAATTCCGCCACGGAACAATTTAGCAAACAAACGCATCTTCTATAGCTGAACGGCATAAGAACATGCTAGAAAACGCTCTGAGGGTCACCTAATAGTTTTTAATTATTTTAATAAATTACGTTAAATCTTCAAAATTAAAAAGAATCAATTGGTTAGCTAAGTTGATAAATAACTAAAAAAGTGTATAGCGGCGTAGGACGTAGCTTACTTATTATTTTTAGTTCGTTCATGAAAATATATTTTGTTTAATTTGTTTCAAAGATTATATTAATCTGAATAAACAGCAATTAGGTATTATGTAATTTAGAGTACTATATTTTTTTTACCTATTATATTCCAATAACAAAACCCAACTAATATTTGTGAGATAATTAATCTGCTGATCCGCGGAATATCCTACGTGAAATCAAAAGTTTTTACGACATGTTTAAATGCAGCTCCGTTCATATTAATCTTCCTAAGTAAGCCTTTCGAAGACTAAAAAAATTATTCAATTCTAAGTAATGGTTTCTAAGATAAACGCATTCAAACATACAAACAAACTCAGATTTATAAAATTGAAATAGAATGAGACAGAACTTTATTGCTAGTTGTGTGGGCATAAATGTGTTTGGAGGAAAGGAGATTTATTTTAATGGATTATATTGGAATGGTCCTACCGCC